AGGTATGTGGTGTTCTGTGACACTCTTCTTTCCGGCTTGGGACGGACAGTGGGTTTCTGGACTTGGGACGTCACTGTGCTCACAGGCAAGAGGCCTTGCTGCCCTGCGCCCCCGTCCCCCGCACTGTCCTGTCCCGGTTCCCCCGGTACCTGTGCAGATGCCCCCTCCCTCGGCTGGCTCCAACACCGTCCTCTGGGGCGTGGTGTTCTGAAGCAAGGATCACAGAGGCAGAACTGGTTAACTCACTTCTAACCCACTTTGCCCCGGCAGCCCCGTGCCAGCTCCCGTTCCTCCTGCAGGGCGGGGCCCCGACTCTGCTGGGGTAACTGCACCCACCCCCCCCCAGTCTTCTCCCAGCCCCCGCCAGGCCCCGGGACGTCCTCAAGACCGAGACCTTTTCATCGGCCTGGAAAGGGTCTTTGATCTGGCCAGGTCCTGGCTGGGACTTTGTTTCCATGCCTCTGGCCACTTCTTGCAAAAGCGAATGTTTCTCACATCGGGGGCATCTGGGGCCAGAAAAGTCAGGGTCTTGAACGGGGAGAGCCTTTCGGCAGTCGGATGTGGTCTGTCGTCTCCGCGCCGGGGAGCGTGAGCGGCAGGGAGGGGTCTGGGCTGCAGGGACCGTCAGGCATGTGGGCCACACCCGCGAACAGAACGGGCGATGATCTCTGCCTTCGAGGAGCTTTTATTCCACGAGGGGAAGGGAGAAAGCAAACGATAGGCTCAGGCAGTGACTGGTAGGGCCCGTCTGAAGGAACAGAAATGAGAAATGATATGACCGTAGGGGGCGGTGCTTGGGGATGTCGGGCTAGAGACGCGGGCTGCAATTTGCAGAGGAGCCGGCCTGGTGGAGGAGGTGACTGAAGGCTTGAAAGCAGGGGAAGGGAGAGGAAACAGGCAGTGCAAAGGTCCTGGGGCAGTGAGCCTGGCATAGCGGAGGCGCAGGGAGGAGGCCAGTGTGGCTGCAGCAGCAGGGAGAGAAGGTCAGAGCCGACGGTATCCCAACAGTCGGCCCCCAACGGGCATCACTGTGAGGGAGCTGGGAGCCACGGAAAGGTCTAGAGCAAGATGACATCAGCTGACTTGTGTCTTTAAAGGATCCTGCCTAATATGACCCTAAACGGGACAGACCGCCCCGCCCAGGCGGGCTCTGCCCAAGTGCTCCGCGAGTGTTAACCCATTTTTGATGCCGGCACAGCCCTGCAAAGCAGGTCTTCTTTATAGAGGCTGCCGAGGCACAGAGAGGGTAAGTAACTTGCCCCAGGCCACACAGCTAGAAGGTAACAGAGCCAGGATTTGAACCCAGAGCCGGGGCTCTGAAAGAGGCGTACTTTTCAGACAGAAAGTTCGCAAGCCCTACCCTGGGTCAGGCGGGGTGGGCCAGCTGAGGGGCGCAAGGCTGGGCTCCGGGGCCTGAGTGTGGGCCGTGGCAAGCCCCTGGACCTCCCCAAACCTTCCTTTTGTCTTGTGGCAAATGGTGGCTGTGACAGTAGCTGCCTCCAAGTGCGCTGCCGGGGTTGGGGCCTCTCCGGGCTGTGTGCCCAGTGCCCAGTGACGGGCGTGTTACCCTGTCACCTGCCTGGTGTCTTTGCAACTTGTTTACCAGCCTGCGTCACCGGGAAACAGTCACCGCCGCCTGGGACAAAACGTTCCTCTTTGGCCAAGTCCCCTCTGGGCGGAAAGCGCGTCCACCGGGCCGGGCGCTCTCGCTGGTGCGCGGCGACACCCGGCGGCGGGCGCGGACTGTGCGCGCTCGGTCCGGTTCGGTGCGTGGGTCCCCACCGCCGCCGCTGTCACCCTTTACGCAAACACACGGCACCGTCCCCGGCCACTGTCCACGCACGCGCTCTGCAAACTGCGGATGCGACGCCTTCCGCGAGCCAGGCGTTGGGGACAAGGGGGCGCAGGACACAGCTCCTGTCCTCATGGGACCTGCGGGACAGCGGAGGAGGCGCCCCCTGCAACGGGCCCTTGTCGGGGCGCAATGAAGAGGCAACGGCCCGGATTTGGGGGCGCAATGAAGACACATCAGCCCGGATTTGGGGCGAAATGAAGACACATCAGCCCGGATTTGGGGGCGCAGTGGGGACGCATCAGCCCGGGTTTGGGGGCGCAGTGGGGACGCACCAGCCCGGATTTGGGGGCGCAGTAAGGACGCATCACCCTGGATTTGGGGGCGCAATGAAGACGCATCAGCCCGGATTTGGGGCGCAGTGGGGACGCATCACCCTGGATTTGGGGGTGCAGTGGGGACGCATCAGCCCGGGTTTGGGGGTGCAGTGGGGACGCATCGCCCTGGATTTGGGGGTGCAGCGGGGACGCATCGGCCCGGATTTGGGGGCGCAGTGGGGATGCATCAGCTCGGATTTGGGGGTGAAGCGGGGACACATCACCCTGGATTTGGGGGTGCAGCGGGGACGCATCAGCCCGGGTTTGGGGGTGCAGCGGGGACACATCAGCCCGGATTTGGAGGTGCAGTGGGGACGCATCAGCCTGGATTTGGGGGTGCAGTGGGGACGCATCAGCCCAGATTTGGGGGTGCAATGGGGACGCATCAGCCCAGATTTGGGGGCGCAATGAAGACACATTAGCCCGGATTTGGGGCGCAGTGGGGACGCATCAGCCCAGATTTGGGGGTGCAGTGAGGACGCATCACCCTGGATTTGGGGGTGCAGCGGGGACACATCAGCCCGGGTTTGGGGGTGCAACGGGGACACATCAGCCCGGATTTGGAGGTGCAGTGGGGACGCATCAGCCTGGATTTCGGGGCGCAGTGGGGACGCACCAGCCCGGATTTGGGGTCAGGGGTGGCGGGGCAGGAGCAGGGCGGCATCCTGGGGGCTGACGCCACCGCGCAGCTTCCTCTACTTTTTCGCTATTTTATTTATGGCAGAAATAATGCATTTCCACAACGTCATTGTAAAAAAAAAAAAAACACTCTCTGGGAGGCCGAGGCGGGCGGATTGTTTGAGCTCCGGAGTTCAAGACCAGCCTGAGCAAGAGCGAGACCCCGTCTCTACTAAAAATAGAAAGAAATTAATGGGACAACTAAAAATATACAGAAAAAATTAGCCGGGCATGGTGGCGCATGCCTGTAGTCCCAGCTACTTGGGAGGCTGAGGCAGGAGGCTCGCTCGAGCCCAGGAGTTGGAGGTTGCTGTGAGCGAGGCTGACGCCACGGCACTCTAGCCTGGGCAACACAGTGAGACCCTGTCTCAATTAAAAAAAAAAAAAAAAAGCACGCCAGGCCAGAGCACCTGGCACTGGCTGGGGACACATGCCCGGAGAGGGAGGGGGACTCTTTAACGATTTGGTGGCTTTCCCCTGAGACAGGGTGGACAGAAGTCCCGCAGGTCGCGGCTTGTGCAGACTCTCTGAGTGTCTGCAGTAGCGTAAACAGCACGCATCTGGGGATCGCGGTCGGAACTCTAGGAAGGGGTCTCCTGCCGCCGCTTTTTAGGGGGCACAGGCAGGGGCGCTGAGCAGGGGGACCAGACACCCTGCACCCCTGGCTGCAAACTTGTAAATTGAGACGGTCTCAATTCACCCCTGCTCTCTCTCCCCTCCTCCTCCCCTCGCCCCTCTGTTTCCTGATCCCGTCTGGTCCCTTCCCTGGAGCGGGAGCTCTGAGACCTCAGCCAGCAGTGCAGACGTCTCCGAATTGTCACCAATTGTCACTGCCGGGTGCCACCCGCGCTGCTTCTGATTTGGGGGCGGGGACTACAAACTTGCTTTTCCCAGCATTTTGGATGCTGCCGGCTGCGGGACCCCACTTCTAAGAGCCGCCCCCTGTAGAAAGCGAGGTCCCCTCTGCAGGAGGAGGCCAGGTCTGGTTTTGCGCACGGAGCGCCCCGCCCCGCAGGGTGGCCGGGCCTTTGTGATGTCACAGCCGGCCCGGAGAATGGTTGCCTTGACGACGTAAACGGACAGCGCAGCGCGTAGAGCGGAGGGCGAGGACCGGGGCGCAGCGCAGGTGCGTGCGCGGGGGGCGCGCGGGGCGCGGGGGCTGGACCGGGGGTGCGGGTTGCACGGGGGCCGGGGGGACCCCTCCATGAGCCCCTGGCGAGCCTCCCCGCCCTTCCTGCTCGCATTGCACTCGGTTTATTACATGCTCACCCGCCCGCCCATCCCTCCATCCCTCCTACCCCCATCCCTGTGCACCTGGCTATGTGGGCCCGGGGGGAGGCCCGCCAAGACTGGGCTCGGGATCCCTCTGCACAGGGCACTGTAGGAACGCGGGCCAAGCAAGCGTTAGGAGTCAGACGACCTTGGTTTCCATCCGGCTCTAGCCCTGCCTGGCTGTGTGGCTTTGGACACCGTGCCGAATCTCAGCCTGTCCCCCCTGCAAAGATGAAAATTCACTCCTTGAATAGTTGAGCCATGCCAAGGCCGAGGGATGAGCAGAAAAGACCCCTGTTCTCTTGAAGCTTGCATTCTAGCTGGAAATAAGAGAATAAACTGATTTTTTAAAGTATAGTCAGGTAGTGGCAATAGCAGAGAAGAAAATTGATGGAGGTCCCGTGGGGGTGGGGAGAGAGTAAGCACTCCGGATGTGGTGGGGAGGGAAGGGGTGACATTTGAGCTCCGGTTTTTAACCACAACCGGGTAAGGGAGGATGTTTTTGGCCGAGGAGGCCTCACGTGCAAAGGCCCTGAGGCAGACGGCGGTTGGCGTGTTCTAAGAGCGTGAAGATTAGGCAGCTACAACCAAAGCCAGGAAGGGCGAGTGGACCCCGCATGGGTAGGGGAGGTAGGAGCAAGTAGATGTCAACACACGGTGAGCCCTCGGAAAGTGCCGGCTGTTGTCGGCCACTCAGGGGAACCGGAGGTGTGGGCCTGGGGACCGGCCAGCTCATCACCGTGTCCCTCCCCAGGTGAGGGTCTCCTTTAGCCGAGGTCACACTTTGCATGGACCAGGATGTCCAGGACACTGTCCACGAGGGTCTCCAAGAGCATGCCCTATGGCAGTAAGTACCAGGCTAGGGTTAGGGCTGTCTCAGAGGTCGGAGACAGCCTCCCAGCTCAGGACGGTGAGGTCTGGACTCCCTCGAGGGTTCTGGTGGTTCTAGATGCAGCCATGAGGCAGGAACCACAGTTGGCCAGATCAGAGCGGAAGTTTGGTTTGGGTCTGTTTAAATCACATTATGCAAACATTCTGATTTGCATAATGTAACCATACTATGCAAATATTCTGATTTGCATAATGTAATCACACTGTGCAAATATTCTGATTTGCATGGTGTAACCGCACTATGCAGATATTCTGGTTTGCATAATGTAATCACACTATGCAAATATTCTGATTTGCATAATGTAATCACACTATGCGGATATGTAACCATATACCCACGGAGAAAGAAAACAGTGATGTCATTCGGCAGCCCAAGCTCCCGAGTTTTCCAGTTTTCCGCAGGCCTCACCGCGCCCTACTGCCCCCCGCCCCCCCACGCATTGTCTGCTCTGCCGGCCCCGAAGGCTGGTCAGGTTCCTCGGCAGACCCTTCCCCACCCGGCCCCGAGACGCCCGGCTCTCTGTGCAGCCCCAGATCGGGGACACGCTCGGACGGCTCCCACCCTGCTGGCGTAGACTGGGATCGCTGAGCTCCGGATGATTCCTGGGTCAGCACGGAGGAGGTGTCAGGCCAAATCGCTTCCTCCCTCTCTGGGCACCTGTTGCAGGGAACAACAGGCAGCAGGGTCCCCGTGGTAACGTGTCACCTAAAGGGGGCGCTGAGGAGCCCACCCCTGGGATGGGGACATGCCGGTCTCTGGGGGGCAAGCGGGGCCCTGGCTTCCGAGCCAGCCCACCTGGCCTCAGGTGAGCCAGGTCTGCTGGAGAGACCACTTCTCGCCGTGGAGTGGCAGTGGGAGCCCCCTGAGGTCACGGGGGGGGGGTCTTTGGGTCCTCCATCTAAGCCCTAAGGGGAGCCCCGGGCGGCAAGGCACTGAGCAGGCCAGCAGTCAGAGGCTGGGGTCCTTGGCCTCCCTGAGCCTCAGTGTGTCCATCTGTGAAATGGTCCACTCAAAGGAACAAACTGAAGGATGGGAACAGAGGGTGCAAGGCACCTGCTATGTTCCGGGTATGTGTGCTAGGGACGTTCAAGGCCATCTTCTCCCGCCCAGTTCTCCCACCTTCCCGGCGGAGTCAGTACGAACATCTCAGATGTGGAAACTGAGGCTCAGAGAAGCCAAGCTCAGCAGGCAGATGAGGGCGCTGAGGCCAGAGCCCCCGGGTGTCCGGAGACTCCCTGCCTCGTGCAATGATCACGGCTGTCACGGCCGGATGAGTCACGGCCGGGGCCCCCGCTTTGTGTCTCTCCAGGACACAGCCCGGAATCGATGAGAAACAATTCTTCTTCAATCGCTGAAGAAAAACCGGAGAAAGAGGCAAAAAAAGGTAACCTTCAAGCTGGGAGGAGGCAAACCCTGTCCCTCTGCTCCTAGATGCCCTCAGACCTAGTCTCCAGTACTAAGGGCAGAGGGAAATGCTTCTTTTCCATTAGGTACCGAGTTACGGAGGGCTGCGCTACCAAGAATGTAAACACAGTAGGATTTGTTTTTCCCCCCATTTGTGGGAAACGTGGGAGGCAGTGCGGGATTCCCTGAGGCTCCACAAACCGCAATTCAGTGACATCATCGAGGTGACCGGGTCCCAAGTCTTCCTATTTTGCCAGAAAGGGATTAGGGCTTTCAACTGCAAGGTTGCCTCTGGGTCACAGAATGACTGCTGCAGCTCCGGCCTGCGCACAGCTGATTCCAGGCAGGGAAAAGGAGCAAAGGGAAGGGCAAAGCTACCCATCAGCCAACTCAGCCTTTCTGGGAAAGGGATTCTTCCCGTACCTCGGAGTCCATGGACTCCATCCTTTCTCTCTTTTCCGTCTTTGCCGGGGTATTTTCAAGTACAATCCAGAATGCCCATTCCATCCCTACATATCTCAGTGTGTGCTTTGTCCAGCAACGGTGTCATTTGTCCCATAGAACGTCCCTCATTCTCTCATTGTCTGTCTGCTGTTTACTTTGTTCTTTTAATTTATTTATTTAATTATTTTTTGAGACAGAGTCTCACTCTCTTGCCCCGGCTAGAGTGCTGTGGCGTCAGCCTCGCTCACAGCAACCTCCAACTCCTGGGCTCAAGCGATCCTCCTGCCCCAGCCTCCCGAGTAGCTGGGACTACAGGCATGCGCCACCATGCCCGGCTAATTTTTTGTATATATTTTTAGTTGTCCAGATAATTTCTTTCTATTTTTACTAGAGATGGGGTCTCGCTCTTGCTCAGGCTGGTCTCGAACTCCTGACCTCCAGCGATCCTCCCTCCTCGGCCTTCCAGAGTGCTGGGATGTCAGGCGTGAGCCACCGTGCCCGGCCCCTGTCCTAGATTTTTAAAATTCATTTTGTAACCTTTCCAGGGGTGGGAGTGGGCTGGTGCAGGGACGGGCCTGCAGGCTCAGTCCACCCCTCCACCCAACTTCCTGGCGGTACACACAATAGACTCCTCTCTGAGGGCACAGACTTTAAATACCGGAGACCCAAGAGGGGCTGTGTTCACAAGGTCTCTTTCAGATGCCAGGGACGGAAGCCCAACTCGACCTAGGTTAGAGCGCAGAGGTGACTTTACGGAGCGAGAAGATCCAGGGGCGGACTTCAGGCACGGCTCGATCAAGAGAGCACGTGCCATTGGCTCCTGCTGTCCCGTGCTGGGCTGGAAGGGTGCCAGGAGCCCGAGGGCACAGACCGCCCCTCTCTGCGACGAGCTGTCTCCCTTCCAGAGCCTGGGACGACTCCTGACCCTGCGGCGAATCCTTTCCACATGTCTGGGGACGAGGACTTCTTCTTGCTCAGACGGCAAGAACGTGATAAGGCTCTTTTGGTGAGTATCAAGGACAGAGCCAGGCCCCTCCGAGCAGCTTCCCTGCCTCGGTGCTCCCCTCTCTCCAACCGTGCTCACGTTTCCCTTCTTGGGAGAGCACTTTCCTCAGTTTGCTCTCCCTACGGAACAGTCGATGGCTCCCCGCTTCCTACAAAGTCAGCTGGAAACCCTGCCTGGCTCTCAGATGTCCCCGTGTTTCCCAGTCCCTAGGAATTGGCCGGGCACCCCCAGCCTTCCCGGTGGCTCTCTGGGACTCAGGGTTCAGGGTGGCTGAGATTCTTTCGAGAGGCGGCTCTCGGCCGTCCTGAAACGCCGAGACCCGAAGCCAGGGTGGGCAGCCCGCGCGTTATGGAGCCGCCTTGCGCACACTGGCTGCGAACTCACCGGAGTCCTTGCCCTGACCTTATCCTTGACCTTGGAGACCCTTTTCTTTCTTCTCCAATGAGGGAATGGATTCTTTTCTACTCCGAGCCTCCTCTACCTTCCACTAAGGGTCCACCCTCGACCTCGCACCCTTCCCCACCCGAGCAGAGGCCCCCAGAACCTCGCCCCCACCGCAAGCGGCTGCCCAGTGTCTTGTAAAATCAGACCTGCCACTGGGATTCAGCAGGTGACGTTTCCTGTCCCTGTTGTTCTCGGAAGCGGAAGCTCGTGGCCCCAGGCCGGACGCATTCACGCCAAGCAGGGTTCTGAGATGTCGAATGTGGGTCGCCTGGCAGGTTCCAGCAGGGAACAGGAGCGACCGCAGGGACCCCCAACGAAGAGATGTCTGTGCAGGGCCTGTACAGAGGGGCGGGAGGGGGGTGCGGAGCTGGCAGGGACATCCAGCCCTCAGAACCCGGACAGCGGCCAGGCGCGGTGGCTCACACCTGTCATCCCAGCACTCTGGGAGGCCGAGGCGGGAGGATCGCTCGAGGTCAGGAGTTCGAGACTAGCCTGGACAACACAGCGAGACCCCATCTCTACTAAAAATAGAAAGAAATTAATTGG